AAAAATCAACAACAACAAATATGAAATAACTCTACTCAGGAGGTGAAGCAGAAGGATGAAAAGTTGCAGGCTAGCCTGCTTCTAAATAAAAAATAAAAAGGGCCAGAAATGAAGCTCAGTTAGCAGTAGATCACTACGGGTCCAATCCCTGGTTCCAACAACAACAACAAAAATAACCCTAAAGCAGTTCACAAAGAACAGGACAAGCTGGCATAGTGGCACACATGTGTAATCCCAGCAGAGCTTGGGAGGCTGAGGCAGGAGAAGCACAAATTCAAAATCAGCGTCAGAAATTTAGTGAACCCTTAAGCAACTCAGCGAGACCCTGTCTCTAAATAAAAATAAAAAACTGGCTGAGGATGTGGCTCAGTGATCAAACTCCCCTGGGTTCAATCCCTAGCATCAAACACACACACACACACACAAACACAACACAATGAATGCCCAGCTGGTTAAAGAGGTACACTCCTTTAATCCCAGCAACTCTGCAAAATAAGGAAGGAGGAACCAAAGTTTAAAGCCATCCTTGGCAACTGAGGGAGACACCATCTTAAAATAAAAAGTAAAAAGGGTTTGGGATTTAGCATAGTGGCAGAGAATCTCTGGGTTCAACTCCTAAATCCCTACCAGGAAAAAAAATAAGTTGGCCATGAGAAGAGCTCAGAATTTAATCCCCAGTTCCGCCAAAAATAGAGCATGTAATATTATGATTCTTTAAATTAAGTCATAAAAATGCTAGGAAACAAATATCTTTATTAACAAGAAAAAACAGTTAGAACACAATGGAGAAAAACTCATTAGGAGTAGAGAAGGGGATGAGGGTTTGGGGGTGGTTGGTGTGGCACTGCACGAGAACTCTAGAGATTAAACCCAGGGCCTCCACAAGTGCTCAACATTCACGCTATATCCTCAGCACAGAAATCAGCAATTAAAATTACATAACACCTAGGAATAAACTCTCATACAACCTTTACAGTTATAAAACTGCAAAACTTTCTTCACCCAACTGGAGTCAAACCTCTATTTGGATGAAAATCATAAGAAAACCAAAAGACAAACTCCTAAACCTGGACCCAGAAAGTACCAGCCTGTAGTCTCAGCTGCTCAGAAAGCTGAGACAGGAGAACAACTTGAGCCCCACACTTTAAGGCTAGCCTGGACAACATAAGAAGACCCTCTTCCAGAAACAGAAAACAAATAACTACAACAAATATGAAATAACCTCTCGGGAGGTGAAGCAGTATGATGGAAAGTTCCAAGCTAGCCTACCTCCAAACAAAAAATTAAAAAGCCCAGGGGTAAAGCTCAATGGTAGATCACCCGGGGTCCAATTTCTAGTTCCAGAAAATAATAATAAAAATAAAAGTAAAAAGCAGTTCAAAAACAACAGGATAGGCCCAAAAACAAACAAACCAACAAACAAAACATATATGTACAGTAGTGACACTCCTGTGGAAACACTACTACCAGCACCAATCACCAATACAACTTACTATACATAAGATTACCATTGATTATCAGAAATGCTTTAAAGGAAAAGTCTTCATTAAAAAACGTGAGAGCAAGGCACAGTGGTGACCATCTGTAATCCCCTCTCAGTGACTGAGAGGGAACTAAGGCACTAAGGCAG